TGGACCTACCCCCAGTTAAGGTGCTGGGCTGGGGCTGTATTGCTTGCAGAGTCAAGTCGGGGCGGGGGGATCCTTGCGGAATGAGTGGTCTCTCCCGTCCAGAAGTCTGAGCTCAGCAGCATGGGGAGGCTATCCCTGGGGACATGGGCTGCAGAGCCCCTTTTGGTGCTTGGGGGTTGGGGGTGGTAGATGTATGGTGACCTCTGTACCCATATGACACCCCTCCACTCACCCGGACAAGACCAGGACCTTCAGGAGAATCTGATCCAGGGGTGCACACCTTCATGGCTCTTGGGGTGGTTGTGTTACAATGGGTCGTAAAACCTAGGCACAGCCAGGTCTGTCCCCCCCCAGGTGATGTCCTTGCACAGTCCCCTCTGCTGGTACCAGCTGCAGACAGGACATTTGACTTTGGGATGCTTAACTCCAGGTGCTGGGGTATCTCTTGTATCTTGTATGTGGGGGCCTGTGCTGCTCCTGCGGGCCCTGCATCTATGGGACATATATTGCTGGTTTGGCTGCCACTGGGAGTGGGAGGAGGGTGCCAACATGGAGAGGCAGAGCCTTGGGCAGTGTCACGACCTTTCTGTCCCTCCTTCAGGTCTGAGCCCTGAGCCTCCCCCTTCCACCTGTGGTAGGGGCTAAGGGTGCTGGAGACAGCAGCTGAAAGGACCCACCTACCACGGAGGGTGCTTTTCTCTTCTCCCCACCATGGTGGGAGAAGAGGAAGGGCTGTGGTGGCCCCTGAGGTGAAAGTCCCAGTTCTGAGGAAGTTCAGTGGCCTGCGTCTAGTCTCGTCCCCTCAGTCCTTCCAGCCACCCCTTGCCCAGAGCTAGGGCTCTGAACCCACCTCTGAGGCCCTCGCTTATGCCCTCACTGGTAGGTCAGACATCCCCCGTGACCTCTTCCCTTTTCCTTTCCCTGGCTGCGACCAGGTGGCAGGTGACCCCAAGCAAAATTTGCTTTGGGAGCAGGCAGCATCCGGGAACCCCACTGCCGCCTTCGCCAGCTTCACCCGGGCGGGGACTGACACGCCCTCAGCTCGGGAGGAGTTGCAGGAGGAGGGCGCGAGCCCCAGAGAACCGTTTTGGCCACCTGTC